GATTTTATTTCTGTTTGTGAAAATGTAAATTAATGTTTTATTTTTTCAATGTCAGATTATTATTACAAATTCAACATGACACGGTTTCATTGTACGTGCACCTATACTATAAAATAATGTAAGCCATTATACATATAGAGAATTATTAATTGTTAGTGCACTGTCTACAACTACAGGCAACGATCTTCTATCCCATAAATGGCACTACCTGTTATGTTATTTCTATTTGTATTAAAACTTTGTAACAACACTTTATAGGTATAAATTTTTGTTATAGATCATCATAATAATAATACCATTAGCAATTTTAATGTATATTATGCAATTACGTTGTAATACTATCAACTTTAATTGACTCTGGATTTTATATAACCTTATATATATATATCTTTATATTACATACATACCAGAAATAAAAAGGAAACGAGTAAACGTATAAACTTTTTTCTTGAATGTATGCGCCACGAGTATATGTATATATAGTGTTCACAGTGCTTTTAAGCTCCGACTGGGCTTTATCAGACGAAACAGATACCTACACAAAAAGTTATTGCGACAGTTAAAATGCACACTTTAATACAAAGATGCTGGTATATACATTATATAAAACTATATAAGTACAAATCTGTTCGAATAAAATCAGTTTTAAATTCTATATAAGAAATTAAAAATGCAATTGGTGCAGTGTAGCGAATTATTAATTAAATAAATATTCAACTCTTCGCCACCTTAAGATTTAAATCTACAAATGGAATTTTCAATAAACCATCAATCATAATATATTTCTCTATCGACTATCATACTTCACTCATTGTAAACCTTATATAAATAATATTTGTTATTACTTATTAAATAATATTAATTCTATATTATGTTTAACGTAGATAGTACTTACGACCTACCTGTACCTGCCTACGTTTTATGTATTAAACAATAATGTTATATGTATAATTATTTTATTACACACCTGCGCTATGAAAAAAAATAAAAAAAATAATTGTGTTTGACAGTTGTACAGTGTCGATCGATGGTTGTTATAGTTGAGAGCGTAATGGCATTCCGACTTTGAGTTATATACACGGAAAAGCTTTTTGGCATTGATCAAATATGTAAACCTTCCATCTGGTTTTGACTGTCAATCTTTATATACCTACATATCTATATTATATATGTATCATATATTATTTATATATATATATGTCGTCTATATGTATAGTATACATTGTATACATATAACATAAATATTACACATATTATATAATATACGTATTATACGTGTAAGTTATACATCAGTACATCACCATGACAAATGACAGACTAGTTAGACAGTATAGCAGCTTAATGATTATCATAAAAATTACTACCCACGCCTAACGTTTCGAGTTCCATTAAAGAATCTTATAAATAATTTACTAATATGCTCTCAATGAAAATTTACTAAAACTTCCAAATAAGTATCATTATGAAGAAATAAAATCAAAAACGTATTATATTGGAATGCTATGTTAATCATAAAAATGTTTAATGTTAAGGTTAAAACGTATAAACTAATTTGGGAAATTGAATGCATGACCAAATAGAAGAATTAATTTTTTATTTAGTTGTATTAATTATGTGTTGTTTCTGTACTTCAAAATAAAATTACTCTATACTCTAGAATTTAAAGTGTTGTAACTGTTTGTGTCTTAAAATTTTAATAACTTTAACTTAAAAGTAAAGTAAAAAAAAGTTAATATTTTTAATTAACTAATTATTTTTGCGAAATGAGTGATGATATTAGATACAAAAAATCCATGATACATATGAACGAAGGCCCTAATCGACGAAAAAAAAAATACTTGGATAATAAATATGGTGCTATAAATGTTATGGGTTCACAAAATCAATGCAAAAAGTAAATAGATTATTAAATATTTTATATTTTCATTATTAATACTATAACTTTATACATTATCATAATTATTTTAATAATAAAAGTACTTTAATCAACTCATACAACATGCATAATACTTGTTGTTATACTTTGTTGTGTTATTATAAGTTATAAACGTTATATTGTTCTTAAGTGTACAGTACGATTTTGAAATCTCGCAAAGTTACCGTAGCTATAAAATATATGAACCTAATAACGTGAATACAATAGGTAGTTATTATCTCGTTCACAAATATATAAGTAGTAACATAGTATAATATTATACATGAATAGTCGTTCAACTTTAAAACTTTACGCTATATCGATTGTTTTATAAAGTGTTTCTTTACAATGAACTCTAAAGCTCCGTTTATTCAATTGATTATTTCATCAATGATGTAGTAAAACTATTAGTTAAGTTATAATAGCATGTATTATGAATGTAATGTGTAAGCTAATATAATATAATGTGTCTTTTATTCACTGTAGATAGTTTAATAACCCATAAATATATAATAATATATTTACAAATATAATAAACGAAATACGAATGATTTAAAATTCACTTCTTCAAGCTATAGGTACGCTGTAATTTTAATTTTTCGATGATTCTTTCCACGACTGCATAATACTAAATTGGTAAAACGCCACTATACACTCATTTTTGCTCTCAAAACAACATAATTGTAATGATATTATATTCTTGAACACGGCAAACGAAATGATTGTTGTGGACTTGTGTAAATGTCGATTACTCCTAACGTCAGATGATACGACAGAAAAATTATTATTCTGCGGTCGTTATTTTATCGATATTTTTAAATTAAATTTCTGGAACTGTGTATAACGTAATTTTAAAAAACAAATGTAAAATCCATATCATAATTTATTTTCAAAATGAAAACACGGGAAGAAAAAACGTCGATAGACTAACTGCGGGCCTTATTTTCGTCTCTAAATATGATTTGATATTCAATTCTAAATATTAAACGTAAACGATAAGTGCACATTATTATTAGTCAGAGCCATTTCGAGCGTATCCTGTACATACTAGAACAGTAAATTATTTTCAATTAATAGGTAAATGACTATAAAATGATAAATTAATTTAATTAAATATACTGTCTCACCATCGAAAAAAAATCCAAATGCTTATGATCTGATGATTTTTTTTTTTTTTTTTTGCAACCTCTATAATATTTATACAACTAGGTCCTCACATTTTTCTCAAATAATTCAATATGTCACATTATGATTATACTTAGTATCTTTATAAACTTATAACTGATATAAGTACAAGTTACCGCACCATAATTATTTCGATGTTTACTGCATTACACATTAAAAAATATATATAAAAATAAATAAAAATAATTATAGATAATTATAAAAATTTTATAAATATATATAAATTTACACATTATATTAAATAAATACTTTATTTTAAGAAAATCGTTTAATTATTAATACATTTCTTTAAAAAAAAATTATCTAGAGTCTGGACGCCATTCTATTAATAAAACATAGGAATGTTATTTCTAATTTCTCAAAATTTGAATTCATCGATAATTAAAATTAAATTTAATAATAACATTAAACAGAAAATCATAAAGTGCAATAAACGTTTCTTGAGTACAACAGTGCAAAATACCGGTAAAAAGAGTTCATCGATCACATTTTTTTTTTTGTGTCAGACCCATGCGCAAAAAGGAAGGTCTAGTTCCCATTGCAGTAAATATTTAAATTGTGTTTTTCATATTTGATCAATTACCTATATTCAATATTTTAGAATCATTGTAATAATGCATAACATAATTATTAAGTATACACCATTATTATAAAGTTATCATCATATTTGTCATTTATCAACTTTCGTCATTGTCATTAATTTGATAAATTTATCGCTCATCTTCAAGATCGTTTCCTCAAACATCGTAATAAACGTATTTTATCCCACTTCTTGTATCTTTTTCCTACAGAAACGAAATCTTTAAACATACTTACTTAATCAAAATTATTTGAAATCTACAAAACAATTTTACATGACGATTCCCTTGAAATGTTGATAAGTTAGACAGAAATTTGGCGAAAACCATTAGTTAGTAAAAATATTTTAAAAATCCTTGATATCCTCGATATTTATAATGCAGAATGCAGATGTGTTTCCAAGAATTTATAAAATATTACGCGTACTGTCAGTTTTGCCTCAGACTACAACTAATGAATGTTCATTTTCAACGTTACGTTACCTAAAAACTTACCCACAAACAACAATGGGAGATTACTTAAATAGACTGACATCATTGAACATACATCGTGGTATAAAAATGTGTATCAAAAATGTGTATATAATACTATCAATCAAATATTTAATGAATTTTTTTTTCCCCTCCTCGGGTAAATTTATTACAACAATGATTTGTATTTCATAGTATTGGATAAAAAAACATTTTTAACATAGGTACTAATTATTATAAAATCAATAATAAATATAAATATTACATGATAGGTACTAGGTATTTATTAATTATTGATGTATTTATTTTATACAATCTTTTTCAAACCCTTCCCCTTTTCTCCCATTATAAAATTCTGTGTACAACCTTAGTATACGTACATAGCAGTCTAGCAGTATAATAATTATTATATTTTTTCCATTGCAGAGAGAGCGACTGACGGAGTTGATAATTCGTGTAATAGATATATTGTTCATAATATATTCATATTATGAATTATATTATCTGCTTGGTAATATTACTATTAGATCATTACTAATTAGTAATTACTTTGGACTATGAATTGCTCACGCGGCGAATGAAAATATTACAACAATAATATTATACCAATTATATCGTGAGGAAAGATAAACGAACAGCAAACGCGTTTTTATTTCTTATTATTATTTTATATAACGATAAGATATATTAATATACCATAATATGTATTATGCTCAGGGTTTTTTCTCTCTTTCATTATCTAATATCTATCACTATCAGCTATCTCTCTATTCCACACACTAAGAAATCGTTCGGTATCTCTATCATTTAATCGTTGCGTGACACATAGATACCCGTGTTATCAAATTCAATGTGGCCTGCGGACGTCTCTTTATACTAATAACTGCGCCGGTCGCGTCGCACGAGACACGTTTTCAAAAACAATCTCCCGATAAAATTATTATCCAAAAATAGGTAATAATTATTATATTGTAATTACCGAAAATAAAATAAATTTAAAACGGCGTTGTTACACAACACGCGATTTTATAGCGTCAATAATAATATTAATATTTAATATACTGTTATGTCGCATCGAAAACGTCTCTCGCGAGAGTCGAGACGTTAACCGCGGTTTTTGTTTTTGCTTCGCCTGAGCTTCATAATATTATCTTTGCCGTCGATTTCGAAACAAATATGGAATAATTTTTACAATATTATTGTGATAAATGTAAGTACCTACACACGGTGTAAATAATCATCTTTCGATTCAGAAACCACCAACGGACGTGTCAAATCCACCACGCTGCAGGTATGGAAACGTTTTGTTATTAATTTTAATTATACAATTATTTATATTTTATAATGACACGATAAGACGCAGTATAGTTTTGCAAAAGTTGGCCGTTTTGTTATTTATTCCTATGTACAGATCGTATCAGTCGTCTGACATCCGTTGACGAATCGAATCGAAATTAAATTATAATTATCGTGTTTGCTACCAGCCATTGTAAGTTGTAACATTTGAACACCATGCTATAAAACGTTCCTGCCTCCTGGTCGTTATCAGATCATTTTTGTTTATAATTAAAATCAAATATACCGTAATACACATATAATATATTACTATTCAAACCTATCCATTCCGCGAGTTACTTATTTTTATTTTTTTTAGAAAAAATTATTTCGTTCATTAAAAATAACGATTTATGGTTGCCGCTCATATTATTTAGGCAACGGCGTATATATAAATATATCTACATAATACATTAACGAGGTTTCAACACCAACGTACCAATTGCACTGCCACCTACCCTATGACAAACACATAAGCTCTACATATAATTATATTGATATACCCACAGCTCACGCTGTATTAATAACGCATACGTTTTGACATCTGTTTGCACGTTCTATTATCGCGTATGAGACCATTATAATGATCACTACGTCGTACGAATCAGTACAACGGCAATAATGAGCGCACTGCCACCATGGTGATTTATAATAATAATATGAAATTATTATTATCATTTTGTCGCTACACAAAGTTACAGGTCGTATACGACATAAATATGTGATACAATATCATTATTTACCTCCAATGCCATTTGACCGAGACAACAACGGAATATTGAGGGCAGACCATTAAGTATTTTGTCAAAGTTCAACGATATTAACTTTTCGCAAATGCGAGTGAATATCCCCAAAATTAATATCATATTGCATAATACATTAACTAATGTGTTTATGTCTGGATCGGCTGAATGCCAGATTTGTATAAGATGTATTATACGGTTCATAACCTATAAAAGTGTACCTATATAGCAAGTGATTCACTGAGCACACTCGCCCCTTTTTAATAATTTAATAATGCAGTAAATTAAAATATGAATATTGGAATTTGAAAATATACTTAAAGACCATATATTCAAATGAAAAACACTGTACTATAAATTATTTAGTGGGTATTTATTTTTATTTTTAATGTTGACATACCTACTAAAATTAAAATTTGAACAAGAAGTTTTTAAGCTATATTTAACAATGTATTCTAAAAATATGATGACAAGAAAATTTAAGTTATTAATATTAATCTACAACGAAATATTTTATAATTTTATTTTTGTTAAACCTTTTTTAAGGATATTATCCTTATTATAAACATTTTAATAAAAAAAAAACTACCTACTTCTTCAAATTTCAAATTCAGTACATTGAAAAATTCAAAACATTCTTAACTGAATAATTTACAATAACAAAGGGAGTTCTTTTTTGAAAAACAGAAGTTTTTATCGTCAAAGACACTCCTTAAATAGTTTAAACAATCTGAATAATTTGCAAATAAGATCTTTAATTATACTTAAAAACTACAAAAACCAGAACTTGAATAAATTTAATATTAGTTTTAAAAAAATTGGGATGAACATGCCTAGTAAATTACTCTGTATATTAATTATATTTTATGATTTGTGATTGTTAAAGTTATAGGACAGTATTTATAAGCAATTAGAAATCGTATCACAGCCGCAAAGAAAGCAAACTTCCTAAAATATGTCCAATAAGATTTAAAAGGACGCCTCACCCATATGTGTCATTTCCATTTTACTAACATACATCATGGTATATTAGCGTTCAGCAAAATACATTTTATATTGTAAGCTTTAATATTAGAATCGATTCACTTATTATCAAACTTAGGTAAGATTAAAATAATATTATCTAGAACATCTCCTTATAAGCTTTATTGATATTTTTTCTTTTTAAAGTAAATTATACCTATGTAAAATATTACCACTTTAAGATTCTCATAATGTGGTTTAAAATATTATAATAATAAAATCCTCCAAACAATACTTTTACCTTTATATTTTTTTGAAGTAAATCGACTCTAATATTAAAGCTAACAACATTAAATGGACGCTAAATTGCTATGTTGTACGTAAATAAGACGAGATAACACACTTAATATACGCGTCATCAAAACATAAAAATAAACTAGAATATAATATTAAATTTGGTATTGGAAAGTTATAAGGCGTACATTATTTCAGTGAGATAACGTTATTTAACTTAATAATCCAGACACATTGAGCGTTTTAATACAACCGTGGTTGTCATTGTGAAAACAGTTTTCAGCCTAAGTTTTATCTTACGTAGTTATTATGTTATAAATTTATAATAATACTTATATAAATATTTTTTTTCTTGATAATATTATAGTGCTACACGTTCGATTCATCCGTCGTGTATGTACCTGCAGTAAAGCAATAGTCTGACCTCTCGGTCAAACTCAGCTGACGTTTTAGCTTAATTTTTTCTAGTAATTTTGCGTTTTTATGTCAAAATTTTGCTCAATACACAGTATCGTTCTAAAATTACCATTTAACAACACCGCGTCTACGCATTCGTAACGAAACACCTAATTGCATCATAAAATCCTGGCTAACCGCGATAAATATATTTTTGTTTTTCAGGTATTAACGAAATACCTAATCGGCTATAATTATTGTGAAAATACTATGGAGAATAAAGCAATGATATACAACTTCGGTCCAGACGGCAGTGATGCGTGTTGGGCCGCGTTGACGAGTTCATGGACTCGTTTTTCGAAACAGCAAGGTAAAATATTATAACTGTCATACTATATTACATCCATGGAGTTGGCGTTTTGAAAAAAACATTGTTTTAACCATCCACTTTACAGCTACTAAATTTATTGCGCACGTATGTACAATATAATAATATCTGAACAACATGTGCACGACGTTTTGTTATCATGATTAGACTTTCGACCAAAGTACGTTGACTTAAATTATGAACGTAATATAATATAATGTTCAAAATGCGATATTATTTTACCGAATCAACGAATTCCGAAATAATCTAAATAATATGTATATTTATGTAGGTATGATTCAATATGGATATTGAGTTAAAACACGATTAATATAATATCATAATATTATAGTAGTATGCATTTAAATAATTTGTCGTCAGTGTCTTAGTGACGTCCTATTTTTCAACCATGAAATTACTTAATTTTTTATTTATAGAAAATAGCATTACTGAAAATCATGATAGTTTGGTTATAATTTATACATTACATTATATGAAATAATTAATTTCATTACTCATAATTCATAAGACATAATAAAATAACCCGTTTGCTAATTTCAACATTGTACAAATTCAAAAAAATTGATTTTAGCAATGATATAAATGTCGTTTGACGTAACAAATTTTGTAAATCATATTTAATTACATAAAAAATGTTTAAAAAAAATAAAAATTCTATTTATTTAATTATTATAATTATTATTTTTTATACACTTATTAAGTGCAAAATTATATTATTTAAAATTTTCTATATCTCTTTACCAATAATTTTGTCTATATATTATTATTTCTTAATTAGTATAATTTTTAGATAGTATTTGGTTTTCAAAAAATATAATTATACAAAAATGAATTTAACGACCTGCAGTAGGTTTCTGCAATATTATGGGTATTGTAGATAATTTCACCTACTATATAAAAATATGATCACATATATCTTCACAGGTTTCAATCTAAACATTTTAATAATTTATAACTTATTAACAAATTCTTATTATTATAATTTTACAATACTTAAATTACTTTAGGTGCTTTTAGGCTCTTTAAAAGAAAAAACATAAAACAGCAAAGAATATAGTAAACATAAAAATGTTAGCAATCAATATAATATTTATAAAACTATATTTTCACTTTTAATAATAAAAAAAAATAATATAGTAAAATGTAGGAATATTAAACATTTTTTTTTTTTTGTATCAAAATATATTCAATTTTCTTAAAACGTTGTATTTTTTAATCATCTAAATACTTTAAATAACATATTATTATTTATGTTTTCACCAAAACAGTACTCAGTAAAATTATAGTTTGGAAAGAAAACAAAATAACTGTCAGTTTCGTCAGTTTTATAAAAAAAATAATTTAGCTGCTTTTATATTTTTGTTATATAATAAATATATATATTATCAATACCTACATGTTTTAACCTAAGATAAATATGTCGATCATTACATCGAGCCTTACTACTTCGGGTTTCGTACTTCCTATTATTAAGTTATAATAATAGTGTCGGTTTCTATGTATGTGTTTATGTTTATAAGTATATATTATTTAATCATATTATCCATAAAAAGTTTATACATTTGTAATTTTAGTTATAACATGTGCATATATATTTTTAAACGTTATTTGTTTAAAATATTCGGTTAGATTTAAGATTTTTAGATAATGCTTAATTTATTCTTAAAGTTATTGTTGGTACGTAAAGAGATCTCTCAGTAGCTTTTATCAGATTTTAGTCAGTGTTGATTAATATGCATAACTTATATAATATATTCATGTTTAACTCATAAACAATAAATACTGACTTTAATAAAATAAATTTGAGAAACATTAAATAAATTTAAATACTAAAAAAATATGTACATCTGAAATGTTTAAATTGATGGAATAACTCACTCAAACTGCGATTTATTTTCTTAGGTTTATTAAATGATTTATTTATATTAATATAAAATTAATTTTAAATGGTTTTATACGAAATAAATATACAATATAAATGGCTGTAAAAAAATATCAATTTTAAAGCTACTTAACTGAATTTCGAACAAATATTAATTAAAAGTTGTTTAAGTAATTTTTAGCTTTAGTTAAATCTAAAATAATTGTAAAATACCAATTAACTTATAATTTTAGATGCATTACAATATACACTATGATATACAATAACAACACACATTTTATAATGCTAATAATCAGAATAAATGTATTCTTTCAACTTTAAGTCCATCAAGCACTCATTTGGAACTTTAAATAACTTAAGTAAAAACATTATATATCATGAGCTATTTTTTTGTTTACATGAATACGTTACTATTAAATTACTTTTCATTAGAAAATTATAATAATTAACAGTGAGGTGGTTTTACTAAAAGATAATTTAAAATGTTATTTTTTATGAACGGTAAACACCCCTAGAGGATCACCCTTAACAGAAAAGTCAGCTTAGCCAAAATGTGTTTTTAAGCTATACAAACAATATAATATAATATTAATTCTGGAATATAAGATACCATTTTTAATTAAAGCTTACGTTCTAATTACGAGAATTTGAGGGAAACAATATTTAATTCCATTTTAATGATTTTTTTTTTTCATAAAAGTTTTATATATTGTATATTTTTCTGCTAATAAAAATATTTATATTTATTTTAAATAATATTTTTATATTTGAAGTGGTATCCCTCGACTATATTATTATGTCTCATCAGTTGTCTTTTGTACAAGTAATTTTTTCACAGCAAAATTGTTATCGTATAATTATTATATTTTATAAATAGATACATTTTTGATTTTTTTGTTCCAATTTTTAGTTTTTACAATTTTATTTTTATTTTTATTATTTGTCTTCTTTCCAAAACTTTTTAAAAATAAAATAACAATTTTTAGATCCAATTTTTCTCAAAAGTGTATATTAAGTCAAATTATTAATTGTATAAATTATAAATTAAAGTAAAAAAGCTAAGAATTTAAATTTTTGAACCAAATTATTACATAAATAATATTAATATTTTAAATTATTACTTATTTACTAATATTTAACTTAACATTTTATGAAAACAAAATACAAAATAAAATTATAAATTTATTTAATTATTTTTGCATAGAAAATAACATTTAAACATTATAACACAGTATAGGTACCTATTAATATCGTTTTTTCAATTATATTCTCATATGCAGTGTATAAATATTAAGAAAATTTATATTTAATGTATCATTTAATTAAACTCGATTTTAAATATAACGAGGTATTATTTTAGGAATAATGCATTTTCTTCTATAACATTGATAATCATAATACAGAAGTTTAAGATGAAAATTATTAGTGTATCGTATTAGTAAACAATATGTAATGATCTTCTATTATTAAACTAGTAATTTCACCATAATCATAACTAAATTATTTTAATATATATCAAAAATGTACCTAGATCAATAATTATTATTGCTAAAACCTTTTAAACTTTTAACAGTATTTTTTATTTTGTAAGAATAAAAATTGTGTATTTATTTTTATAACACAGTAATAAAAATATATAGTTTTGGATTATATAATCTTTAGATGTCTTTGTAATTGATTTATATTTTATATTGTTATAAACATAAAATTTATAAAGGTAGGTCTTCTAAAGACTTTAAATACTTATAAATTGTTTTGTTAAATTTGATTAACTGCAGCATTATATGGAAATAATAATAATATATCTATGTCAAAAAATAAAATATTTATATTTTTTATATTTATAAAAATTAATCATAAATTAATAATTTAATTAATTATTTTAGTAATAAATATTTAATAACTTAATAATAAAAAAACTTTTCCAAAGCAATTTTTAAATAATCATGCGCATAGTATGTGTAACATTTCTCTGAAAAATGTTGTTTTTACCTAAAAATATATTATATTGATTGCTTATAATATATTTATACACTAATCTGGCAATATAATATATAACGAAGTTAACTTGTACTCGAGGTATTTAGGAATATTTACCTTAAATTACTTAAAAAATATTATCCTTTTTTTTCTTTTTTATTGACCATGAATCATAATTATATAGTTAAAGAACAACGCAACATATTAGATATACAAGTGAATTGTATTTTGTTTCGTTCAGAAATGATCAAAAATAACAAGCTGACAAAATTACATTCAGGGGAATTTTAGGATTAAGTTTTATAGCCAGCCTCGCCACTTTTCCAAATTTCCATTAACTGGGTATTATTTAATATTATTATATTAATGTTAGTATTGTATTTTATTATGTTGGAAATATTTTAAAGGCAATTTTTTAGAAGTTTCCGAGTATTTTCAAATTTGCATCGGGTCATAAAATACTATTATTTATTTTTTAAATAAAATCACGTCCTAAGATAACAATGTACTTAAAAATCTGTGTTATATATAAGATGCTAGCTGTAAAGTGAGAACCGTCTACATAAGATAAATTTAAAATTTAAATATAAAATAAATTTGTTAAAAATATATGAATAAAATATAATGAATATTAATATTTTATTTTACTATAGAAAATATATGATAATCAATTTTGAAATCATAAAAAAAATTGAATTTAAAATAGAATTCGAAAATGTTTATTATATTCATAAGCATCCATCCTATAAATTTACCACATATATATATATTGATTATTATTAATTATTATAACGGTATACAATATTCAATATTTATATTCAATCAATATTTTGATGTTTTTATTTTTGAATACATTTTATAAATACCTATCTTGGCTATTGGCAATTGACATGCGAACCCACATTAGTAATTAACTTTAAGTATAGGGTACGATTAGGTTAGTTAAACATTTTTAATTATACTAAAAATCCATAAAATACGCAATTAAAATTGCCAAAATATGTTTATAAGCTGTAGGTATTATTATATACCAAGGCACATATTTATATTATAAAACATATTATTCAAAAAATACAAAAATATTATACAAAAAAGATTCAAAACGTTATATTTATACCTAATATTTCATATTTGTATTAATACTGACATTAAATAAAAATAAATTATTTATTATGACGGAAGTAACGTCTTTTGGTAATAATATATAGTAAATGTATAAACTGAATAAGGGATTCAAATTAAATTCTATAAGTTACACAAATTAGTTTATGAAATATAATAACAAACTCGCTTAGTTTATTTTATATAAATAAATGCTTAGGAAATGGAATTTAGTAAAGTTTTTTACAGATTAAATCTGAAAATTTGACAAAATAATTATGCCTGGTTTATGTTTTTTATTTTTTTATAAAATATCTTAAAATTCTATTTTTATTTCTGAAAGTATTTGTTTGTTTCGGTGTATTAAAAATAAAGACTGATAGATACTACAGTGGTTGTGTCTAAAGAATATAAAGTGTCTCATATTGACCAAATATTTTCATCCCTAGGCCCTTGCGATAAAAAATGTCGGATTATATAAATTATATATCATGTACAAATACATATTATGTAATATGTACATAGTGTCAACATCAAATTTTAATAAAAAAAATCGATTATGATTTTTTAGTTTGTTTATTATATTATAAAATATATTAATATATATTACGAGTATATTCTAATCTATCTGCCGCCTACTAAATTTAAAGATTTAATCGTATCTCCAAATCTTCGTTTTGGTATAATAAAAAAGGAAATAAAATTTTATCGTAGTATCTTAGAAAAATCATCACTCTTACTCCAGTATTAATAATAACAATAATACTTAGGTACTGTTAAATTTAAAAATTGAATTCCATGATTTAAATAGTGGCTGATAGAAGGTCAAAAAACCATGAACGATTTTAGCTTATCATAGTCAAAATCTACTATATATCTCTTACATAAATATTGAGCAACAGTTTTTATTATTTATTTTAAATATACACTCTAAAAACAATAGTAAATTATTGTGTTTTATAAACGTATATTTAAGAAGACGTAATGTTATCTTCGTTTCACAAACGTATCATAGCACATTTAGTTGAACAGACCCAATTCTGCGTAACAAGCTTAATACGAGTGAATTAACCTGTTATAAAACTTAGAGGAAACATATTCAGTGTGTGTACATCAGTTTATTAGAATATTTCAACCTTTAAGCCAGCTTATCATTTTTAAATTGCAATATTATACATACTCATAACAGTCATAATTCTCTTAAAAACTTAAGTATCATAAAAAATTCCCTTGTGCAAATCCAAATCAAATATATAATATAACCAATAATTTTTACAGTAAGTTAATTTAAATAATATTACTATAAATAATACTAATAATGCTACTAAAACACAAAATTAATTTTGCAAATTTAGTATGTTGTACGTTTCTAAGGTGGATTCAGCACAATATGTAGTTGCTACATCCTCGTTTATTTTTACTGAAATTCAATATTTTTGAATTTTTCATTGTCACTCTCAATCGTCAGCCCGGTATTCGAATGAAGCCACTCATACGAGCTCTATTCATATTCGATATTATTTCGCTCTCTTTATTAATGAATTTCTAACTTGGGTACTTAGTATTTAATATAATACACTATTAACCTTATAAAATCAATCCTATAATAAATGTGACCTATAAATATCTGATAAAAAAAAAAATTTAGCCCCTTATTTTATTCCAGGTATTAAGTATTTACTTATTATCAAGTATATTTTTTAATGTATATATGAACATGTACCATTTATTTATATAAATATACAATCTGCAAATTTTATACGACATATTATAATTATCTTAAATAATCTATTAATAAAGTATTTCTAATATAAATATTATATATTTATTTATTAATTTATTTTTTATTTTATTTTTTATTTATAATGTTTTTGTTTGAATAAATTTAATTAAAATTCAGGTTCCCCGGGTTCTTAATATACATCTTCATTATATAATATTATTGCACTTAAATGTCTTAAAATAAAACTAATATAATGATTTTTAGTTTCATAAAAAAAAAAACGCATAATTATTTAATTTTTATAAAGTAGGGTTAGAGTGGTGTATAACTCCTCTCCTGATATTCGCACCACCGATATGGTACGTCATGTATTATAAATAGCATCTGACTCTTTTATCTTAATTCACGTGTAAACTTTTAAGTAATTTCTGAAAAAACTCAATCCCACTTTTAATTATTTTTTAGACCTTAACACAATACAAGTCTCGTGTGATAGTTCAGCGTGCAGTGATGTCGAAGCACAGTTCAACGATACCACAAGTACGATAAATTGCAGTTTATTATTACACCATATCAGTATATTAGGCATATTTGGAGCTCCATTTTTTTGATAGTCCTTCCTATATTTAAATTTCAAAACTGGATTAACTCTATTCATCTATGCTAATACAAATCCAAGTATACAAGCTCGACTTCCCGCAAGCTATCCAACTTTAAAGTATGGAGCTGAAATATACCCCTAGTTACTTCTACGTTTATTTTACAGAACATTTGATTTGTCAAAAAAAAAAAAAAATTTATTTTAATAGTCAAACAGATTCGTAGTCCAACTAAACTTTTTTTTTTTTATCTAAAATTATTCTTATCTTCATTCGTACATTGATAAAATAAAATAATTTAATATAAATTACGTTTACATAATATTATTATAGCCTCATACTTTTCAAAATACAACTATTTAATACAGTAAAAAAATGCTATTATTTATTATTTCATAATAAATATTAAAAATTTAACATAAATCAATCAGCTTAATATATAACAAAGTATTGAATAAAAGCTCTATAATATATCATTTAAATAAACATATATTATAATACCTACTATTTATATTATATATTATATTATTACTATTTATATTATATATAAATAGTAGGTAAACTGTTTACATTTCAAAAATAAAAATAAATTTTATTTTATTACAATATCACTACAATAGGTACTATTATATTTATAATGCTACAAAATGTTTAATTAAACCTAAACAGATGTAAATGAAATATATCTCAATTTTTTACATGTAATCATTAATAATATGATATATTTGTATGCTTGTATTGATAGTTTACTGAGTTTGAATAATATTTTATAACTGAATTATAATAAGAGACTAGGACTGACTATATTTAAAATTTAATACTCATGTGATGAAGTGTAAAAAAATGAAATAACATTTAATTTGTAAGAAATTTTATGTTTATTATACTAACTTTATTTATACGTTGACATTTTATTTTGTGAACCAATGTGTGTTTGGACTCAATCGGGGTACTTATTTTGAGACATTTTAAGCTATCTAAATTCGTTCTAAATCGTTGTATAATCATGCGTCGCGTTGAACCAACTTAAAGTTCGTAGTTTTAATATTAGCATTTTAAAAACGAATGTAATATATTTTATAAATATATAACAATCTCTTACCTAAATTATTTTATTATCAGTATCAATAGTTATGAATTAATTACTAATAACTTATAATAGTACAGTAGTCACTCGTAATTCGAATCTCGATAATTCGAAAAACTCCATAAATAAAAAACTAAACGCTGAGTCCCCCGAGAAAAGCTCTATATATAAAAGAAAATGCATGTATTCCAGTTCCCTCGATAATTCGAAATGTCTGTCGGTAAAACACACTCTACAATTCGAATTTTTATTCCATGAACTCTATAATTTGAATTTTCTTAAACGCGTTTATATGTAAGTTCATACGTATGTACAATGTACAAACACATACAAATTATGTACAATCTATTTAACGTACTCCAGTACTTGTTATGAAACTAATAACGACGGTAGTTAAATATTATCGTAGTCTATAAACGTTATTGTACCTTAACTACCTAATCTAAACTTTTGTCAGGATTACGTTAATTTTTGAGCAATCTAAAATGGACGGAAAAAGATGCAGTACAATTTTTAATGCTATCAGTAAGTTAGACAACCAAAATGTGACCAGAAATTTATCACAAAAAAAAAAAACAGATTTCTTTAATATGTAAAATATAATAATATAATAAATTAATTTAAATTAATAATTGTAAAATATAATAATATGAGTGACGTGTGTATGTATAATAAATAAATGTAATATGTACATACATACAATAATTTTTCACCTCTCTTTAATTCGAGTTAATTTTTTTTCCTTCAATTATTCAAACACTCGGTAAATCGAAAACCTCTATAAATCGAATTTTTAACTCGGTCCCCTGAATTTTGAATTATCGAGTGACTACTGTATAATATACAGTTATTATACATTGTTATATTATAACAATTACGGTGTTTTTTCTAGTGCATTATTCATTGTATAAACTTTATTGTTCATAACTTTCTACATAGTTTTATTTTATATTTTGTATAAAAACTTACTTTTCAAAAAATAAATACCTATTTCTGTTTTTATTTCCATGTTTGTCATATTATGTTATATAGGCATATACGTAGGTAGTAATAAAAATGATAATAATGATAATAAGTTAAACATTTTAATCGGGCTGGCTGAGTATTATTATATTATTATAAATTATTAGTAATTAATTCATAACTATTAATATTGATAATAAAATAATTTAAGTAAACTTATTTTATATAACTATATTTTAAAAGTGTTTATATTAAAATTAAAAACTCTAATAAGTTGATTCGGCGCGACGCCAAAAAATGTTCGAATGTTTTAATTTTTTTTCCTTTATAATATGTCGATAAAAGATTATTTGCCAGATTAAAATTCTTGAAAATTTAATAGAGAATCCAATATGAGTTATTTTTATATAGGTATGTATAAAAATATTAAAAATACATAAACAATTTTTAAATACATTTTAAGTTCTAATTTTGATAAAATTACATATTTAAACGATGAATTACTTTGTTCATTATTTTGTAATAATTAAAAACATTATTCATTCATTTGTCGTAATACTTATTATGAAATAAATTACTTATTTCAATAAAAATATATTATGAAATACCCTTTAAAATATATACTGATACTCTATCTCCATTAAAAATCGTTTTTCGTATACAATGATTTATCATTGAATTCAATTTTAACACATGCATCACAAAGAAGACCCACTCGACACTTATTATAAAGCAGAACGGTACCTACCCACTGAGAGTATACGTTAATAGTACCAGAAATTGCAGTTTTATTTTAAATTATAAAAATTATTTATTTTATAAATGCTATTTTAATTTTTTTCTATAATTTAATCTATACAGAGTGTGTCTGATATGGATGAGGTCACTAGTATATACGTACTGACTGTAATGTCTCAATGAAGACTAATTAAAAATTTTTTTCTATTTTCAAAATTTAGGTTTTTTAAAACTTATTTTAAAATATTATCTTAAATGTAAAAATAAACTATCTAATAATATTTTTTACGAAATTCTCATACGAATCAAGATGTCGCAACATTTTTGCAATTGTCGCGCGTTTTTCATGCTCAAATCGCAGATTTAAAAAAAAAAACTAAAATGTCAAGTGACACATCGATTTGTTACCATCACAGCGAGTCCGCATGTACTAGTGATTTATCTATTTCAAAAACACCTTGTATATTTAATCATTTTTGAGTTTTAATAAAGTGTAAGTTTCAATAAGTTATGCTACCGCTTTTGATATAAAATCTTAACGTTAACGCATACGTAATAACTTATAAGTTGTAACCAATAACGATTTACTTTAATTTAGAAATTTTTCACTTAAGAATTTGTATTTTTTTATTTATTATATTATTATTATTATTTTTTTTTTTTTATGCACTTCATTAAAATAAAATATCTAAAAATATTACAGTTAATATTTTCGTTGTAATATTTCCCTAGTGAAATCGATATGTACCTAATTAGCTGGTGAACGGTGATAAATTCACTGGCACAAAAGACGTATATATTTAAGGTAGTCTAGAAAAATCGACGCAAATAATAAACACCGTACCCACTGTCCACCTTCTTTTTATTATTTACATAAATGTATTTATTACATGTGCATATTTAAAATTTATAGTTAACAAATTACTTGATTATTTTACTATTATGATATTATAATTTATATACTCTGTAAATATTAATAAACCCGAAAAAAAAGTTAAGTAATCATAATATAGTTTCACAAACTGTTGCAATATAATATAACAGCTGAATATACACAATGCATATTCGAATAAATTGTCTCCGAGCCAAGTTACAGAACTTTGCATATTATATAGCTACTGAGTACGTTTATTAAAAAAGTTTTTATACGTGAATATATTGGTTACAACAATTTTTTCATTCTACATTTTTAGCAAATAAAAACATCGTTACAGTTTTGTTGCATTTGCCAATTATTTTCACAACTTGGTAATTGATTGGAGCTTGTAAGCAGTTCACGGCGCATTATTTTGTCGTATTTATTCGTACAAAATACAATAGTGCAGTGCGCTCTAGTATCAATACACAGTAACTAATAAATATAAACGTATTCAAAATATTTTAAAATCACTGTAAAAAGAATAATAAAAACATGCTAACTTCAAAATATTATATCTCTACTTATAAGTATTTGATTTGAAAATTTTCAATTGAATATGAAAATATATTTATTTTTAAATGATATTGAATACTTTTTTTTTAATTCAATTTGAAACTAAGAAAACATTTCCCTTGTTATTAATAGAAAAGTTATTTTTATTTCTGGCTTTTTTGAAAGGTGAAAGTATTTTTTATAAATTTCCAATTACTTAAAGACATTACATGTTGCCAATAATTAACTTATTGTGTAAATATTATTTGGTAGTTGAGTACAAATTATATTTAATTTCAATTTCAGTTCCCTGTAAATATAACTCCATTGTATTATAAAATATATATAACGACTATGAAACTAAGATCGAAACCTTATTGTAAACTCGAAGTTACGTTTGTATAAATTTCTTTGTTATAAAAACGAATATTTTTCAATTTGGTGCACAATAGTACAATAACGACAAATAATTGCTATTTTAAGCAACCAATTCTAAATTATATGTTATTGCTTCTGAAAACTTATTTCGTTACTTTAATTTTTACTACAATTTATATTTTTATAGGTACCTACAGTACAGTTACATCTGTACATAATTTATTTGTTACAATAAGCTAAAAAGATATATAAATAGTTTGTTGATTTTATAAAACTTGGGCTTGATGAAGGAGCTTTTCAACGATAGCACATCAACAATGAGTTTCAATATAACTTTATCTTCAAAATGTTATTTTTTTGGATAGTAAATTTAAGAAAAAATTCAACATCTTTATTTTAACATTAGCTACTAATTAGTAAAAACTAAATGGTGTATTTGTATTAAATGTTGAAAATTTTATTTACTAAATAAGAATTACTTTGAACTATAAAGAATAATTTTCATCGAATATTTTACAAGTAATTAATTTTTAATGTTATTCACATTTGTAAATCAACAATAAGAAATTCATTTAAATAATTTAATCTAATTTTTAAACTAAATTGTATACTCTACATAATCAAAAGTTTTTGGTATACAGGAAAGTTCTGAATTCTGATTATGATTTATTTCAATCATAGAGTTACATTCTTATAATAAGGCATATCTATCTTTCTTGTAAAATTTACCATAAATACATACGTAATAAAATTAGTCTTAAAATATGTTTGAATGTAATTAGATGTCATTTTTTTTTTTTTTTTTTTACTTAAACATTCAGAACTTTTATAATACTTGTAAGTTGCTCATTAACTTAATATACTAAATAAATGTTCTTATCATAATTTAGTACTCTAAATATAATAATAATATAGAATATCAAATGTTGTATTCGTATTGAGCTAAAATACTCCTCTTCTGAGTTAATACCTGCATACAATTCCTATAAACTATGATAAATAATGACCATTATTTAATTATTACGGTTATCGTTTCACAGGAACCCTCAACTCGTGGCCGGTCAAGTCACGTAGGCCAACCAAAAAAAAGAAGCAGAACGTTGTGACCGCGACGACGACGTCACGGTCTCCGCCGCCCCGACCACTGCCGCCGGCTTCGCCAAAGGCCCTCAAACGCCGATCGGGAGTACAACTGCAGCGAACGGCCAACGAACAGCTATCCAGTTCGGCGGAGGTTATGGAGCAGACGATTTCGGAACCGCCGTTGACTAACGGCCCGTGTAACTGCAGCCAATCAGTAAATTCGGAACTGCCTGCCGAGAAAAACGTCACGGGCAACAACAACAACAACGACGACGACGTCGACGTCGACGACCGCGACGAGAACAGTGACAGAAACAAGTGGAAGTGCAACTGGGCAGCGGTCGATGTCGCCGACCAGGAACGGCAGCAACTGATGCTGTGCGCGGCCGACTCCGGATCGTCGACAGACATTAAAGAACCGGCCACCGTTTACGCCGAGCAGCCGATCAAACACGCGCTGCGGGACGGAGGCGACCGCGTTTCGTCCGCGTCCCGTCCACCGACTCCGTCCACTGCTGCACAAGAGCCAATCGAACACGCGCTTCGGGACGAAAGCGACCACGTTTCGTCCGCGTCCCGTCCACCGAATCCGTCCACTGTCGCCGAGCAGCCAGACGAACGCTCACAACAGATCGTCGAAGGCGACCGCGAGTCGACCGCCTCCAGTCCACCGACGACGTCGTTCGCCGTCACCGAGAAGCTAGTGGACGCCGAACACCCGGCGACGGTGGAAGTCTGCGCGGGCTACCGCGAAGTCGTTTCGTCGCCCACGTTGTTAACACAGTTTCCACTGCAGATGACTTTGACCGCTGACGCCGCAAAGCCGATGGTCATCACAGTTGTCCCGCCGCCGTCGTCACTGCGATCGCAGCTCAATGACAACGAAGAGTGTCCAGTTCAACCGAATTTGGGTAAGAAAAATAATATGTACATTTTCTCTGTGTTATTAATATGCAGCGGTTGTAGCAATCGAAGTAAGTGCCTGCGCATAATTCGTTTTTGCGGCCCGAGTAGTGGTCTAAACGACAGAAAAAAATTACGATAACAATAAATTATCATACTATTTTTGTATAACTCATATTAATATTTTTTTGATAATCATTCTAAGCTAATGGGCTCATGGTCGTAATACGTTTGAGTACTATTTTCTTTTTCTGATATCGTGACACTTTTGAGAACTGTAGACAATAATGCATATTTATTGTATGTAGATAGTTTTTTTTTATATTTGCGAAGAATGTACCTTTTTTATGTAAGTTATTTATGAATATAAAAGTTACCATGGACAATGAATCGTAATAAAAATTACAATATATTGTAAAACGATTTTAGAAACACGCATAAAGTATTATGAGCTCTGGTCCATTCAGTGCTATTCGGAGACTATACCACAATTTCTCCTACTACTAACATCGTGCTTGTCAGTTATTAATCTATAATGCGTAATATAGTATTTGGTTATAAAGAACCACTATCTAACACCTCTTCAACTGAAACTTGCCAACATACTAGTTACTACTTTTACATACATGACGTACATCACAATTATACCTCAGCATTTTAAATTCAATGATTATTTTATACAAATTATAGTTCAGCGATGCGGTTTCGTAGCACAAAGATTGAGTATTGGAACACAGTTCAATAAATTTGAATACTATCATTTGTACATTTGAACATTTTAATTATTGTATGGATGTATATGAACCGTTGTAATTAATTAAATATGTTAAACAATAATTAAATAATCAAATGTGTAATTTCTATATAGCACTCAAGAGAAGATATGTCTTAAAAATGCTATCACGAAATATTTTTTTAAATTAATTTTAGATTTTTAAAGAGATGATTTACCATCAATTTCATCATACTTAGCTTATTTAATTATAGATCTGCGTTAAGTTTCAAATATTAGGTTTCAGAACGTCGTGAATTTTCCAGCCTAAAACATTAACAGTAAACTTTAGATTAAAAAGTTAAAAAAATCCTCGTATATTAAGTACCCTGCTGCAAGCCATAGACATAAAACAAAAACAGCTAGCTATAACATTATATAACATTCATTAAATTATGGATTCCTAGTTATAACTCACAATAAAACATAATTTATGTATACGTATATTTACTTGCAGGTATAATAGTATTCTCAGAAAAACCGTTGTCCAAGTACGAGATGAAGATTAAAGAAATAGACAACAGTATAATATCGTACTCGAAATCGTTTTTGAGCACGGTGCTGTTTGTCGTGCTCCTCCGCGTCCTATTTTAAACACAAAACACTCCAATTCAACTAATATTTAAAAAAAATTGTATATTATATAACTGGCGTACGAGTAATGTTCTCTTTCAACCTGTTAATCCGAGGGATTTTGATTTTCAAACACAATCGTCATATTTTAAACGGATGTTTTTGAAAATCGATCTTCCATGGACCCTTAGTAAACGTTACTCGTCCGTGTCAGATGATAATAATAATAATAATTATTAACTTGGACCAACATTTTTTTTTCAAATTATGTTATACGTCTATTGATAATGTGTTTTTTCCAAAAATTTAAAATTTGATTTATATTACTGTTTAGCTTATATCATAATATTATTTATACATCGTCCAATTTACACAATTATTATTATCATTATACCTTATTACTATATTTGCTTTATTCTACCAATCAAATTATTGTAACCACAACCGTAGCCTAGATTAATTAAATTATCGTCACTTCTGTACCTATTATTATTATATGCTATTCACGTGTTTGAACACTGTGAGTATTATTTATTTACTATACTTATTGCAATGCGAATTATTTTTTATTTTATTTGAATTATTATTATATTTTATATACTATCATTATTATTAGATATTAAAAATCATTCTTTTTTATAATTAAATGTATTTTATAAGTTATGAGTACAGGATTTCAATTTTAAAAACAAAAAAAAAAAAAAATTATCTTTACAAAGTAAATGTTTATCGTTAATTTTTTTTTTTTTTTTAGTTAATTTACGCATTTCCTGTATTTTATAACGTAAGCTTACAAAATAATTTTTTCACAATACCATTATTATAATTTATATTACGTGTTATACTTTTTATATTTATTCAGCTATGTATTTGATTATCATTAAATTATCATAAAATCATGTATAAACACTAAGGTATTTTTAACAAGTGAACACACTTCACTTGTTAAAATGCTCAATTTATTATAACAATCAAAGTTAAGAAATCTATTAAACAGTTAATCATAATTATATTGTATAAACTAAAATTAGTTAAAAGTTTAATATTTTACATAATTTAAATATATACATTGCTTGAACAGTAAAAATAAAATTTATAAATGATTTTGTTATACAGATAATATTAATATATACTTAAGTATTTTGTCAAGTAATAATAATTACCAATTAAATATCACTATAGCTCTTATCGTTGTTATTTTTTTTATTTTTTGTCCTTTGAATTTCCGTATTGTAATTATCTATTAAGTTTATCTCATATTTAAAAAAAATTTCATGTGCATGGAAAATAGTAATTCATATAATTATATTGATTTATAGTTTTTGAATTGCAAAAAATTAACTAAAATCTTTTGAGGAATAATCAATATTTTCTGTCTAACTATCATATTTAATCAAACTTTTATAAAATAAAACTGTGATTATCCTATATATTTTTAATTCTTTCGAATTGCTTAAATAAAACTTATAAGAAGTTTTGTAACATATTTTCAAGTTCTAGGTATTCAACGTTAAAAAATGTGAGAAAGTCGACTGTATAGTAACATTTCTAGTTGGCCACTGTGATGGATATGTTAAATTTGAATTCAATTAAACATCATTGTATATGAAAAGCTATTCTGAGCGGAAACAATGTTTATTTTATTATTATTATTTCTAGGTAAAAAAAATTATTTTTTATGATAAAAATGGAGATAAAATAAAAACATTTCTAAAAACATTGCATTTGAAATTATCATATTATTATAAAATATAAATTTATTGTTAAATTTGGTAATTTTTCATTATATTAAGTACATTTTTAGTTTTATTTTCTGATATTTCCTTGAACTGTATGCATAACAATAATCAACAATATTTTGTAGAAAGATATAAGCGATCTACCATGATTTAATCCTGTTTTGTATACACCAAAACAGGCTGTACTTGTCATTTAAAAATAGTAGTATTTAATTTAACTATAGCCCGTGTACTATTGTATAAGATAAAATATACAATAGATGAACTGATTTATTTATAAATTATAAATTACCTATACGTAAATAAATATTATATTATAATGTTTCATCATCCTTATTAAAACGATCAAATCTTTTTCCATATAATACAAATTCGATTTAAAAATTAAAAATACTCTTTATCCATATCGTCGTAAACAGCTTACATGTTGTCACACTATATTACGTATAATTAAAATGTTAATGTTAATATGCAATTACCTAATCTGACACATAATTTTTTATCTAATATCTATAGTCTATACCATACTATCGCTGTCGGCTCATCGTAGATAACTAATACGAGGCTTTAATTTAGTAAGAATCTAACATTGATTTTTATAACAATAAATAATTAACCAGCAATTATCATAGACTATAGTGTTTATGCAGTAATAACATTAAATATATTGAAATACTTTAAAAGGAAATGTTTCAAATTTATTATTTGATCATATTGGATTTGGCAATAAATATTGCTTAATATGAGTAGCATGACCCCTAAGATGATCACAATAAGAATCTCATATTCCGATACATAGTATTATAATTGTAGGTAACTGGCTAGAAAAATCAGTTTGTTGTAATATGTATAATTTGTTGACATTATTATGTAAACAAAATGAAATATTTCATTTTTAAAGTACGTATGTAATTGCTAAATTAAATAGATACAAATATAAATATAAAGTAATATCAATAAATAAACAATGTATGCGGATGACAGTATTATGTGCTGTCTATTTCCCAATAAATGTAATATGTTTCCTCAAACGCCAGTAGTTATATTCTCAGAAACCATGGAGTATTTAAATATGATGATTGTCATAAGTTCACCTATCTTCATAATTTGGAGCATAGTGCAAATAGTGTTAAAGTTTATGGAGGTAAAATTTAAATTAATATTCACTCATATACCGAATGATAGTTCCATTTTGATTCAATAATTTAAAATGGTGTGATAATTATTATATTATTATTTTGTTTTAATTTATTGAATATTTGTGTGACACCTTGCTTGTTAAGTATAGGTAATCGTACTCTTATATCTATGGAATAATAATAACAGTAATAATATATTTGTGTAGGTGTACCCTGTATTAACACAATGGTTTAAAAACTGTAGGTAATAAATTGTATTCGACTAAAATCTAAAAGTGAAGTAATGAGTATACATTTTTACTTTTGATAATATGTAGTATAAGTACTGAAGTGCATTAGATATAGCGTATGCTAAAATATACTTATCATATTATATAAATTTAAATTATCGAAAGGTTAAAAAACTGCCCTAGGAAATAAGATTTCTAAAATATTTTAATGTTTATGGATTCCACAGATATTCATCTTTCATTATTTTTAGTACAATTAAATTACTGAGATATACTTATAATAATTTAATAAACCTAATTTTATATTGTAACATAAATTATATTTTGAAAAATATCTTCTTTTTTATCCTATTAAAAATATTAGACTTAAATATCTGAAATTATTAAAATTATGTATATTATAATATGTGTTCTATATATTGTATGTATATGAAAAAACATGATACTTGACATTTAAAATTAAAATATTTACAAGTTAAAAGTACGTTCAAAAGTTATTTACAATATTAATTTTAGTAAAAAATCGTTATGCTTTGTCTTATTATTTACCTTGATTTAACATTATTTCTATTCTTAAATACATTTTTTTTGTAGCCATTGAAAAGAAAAAAAACTCGATTATTAATAGTATTCTGTAGTCTATAGTAGTCTCTTTGAATTACTAATATCCATGTCCTATTAACTAGTATTTGGCTATATAATTTAGAAAATTTAAAAAAAACTAATCATTTTAAATTATAAATTAAACATAATTTCAGAGCAAGAAAACTAAATTAATTGAACGCAAAGACTCAAAAAAAAGTTATTTACAGAAACTTATGAAAGAAGAAGAAATAGAATGTATGGATGACCATTCTTCCGATAAAAATAATTATGATAGAGATGAAAACAGAGACAGATCTGAAACTTACTCAGATTCTAACTTATCAATTCCTCACATGAAACAACTCCAGAAATCATGTATACTGGATCAGTCCAATTCTGATTGTTTTTTGTCGGAATTAAGTTTTTCCGGACATATTAATAAAGATACAAATAACACAAGAAGAACTTCCTCCAATTCATCCAAACAAGTGATTTTATTAATGGTTACCTACTTTATTTAATTCAACGAACGGTTAAAAAGTTTATTTTATTCTATCTTTTTATAAATAATTATGTCAGTTTTTGACTGCATAAAAACTAAACCATGATAAAACTTTTTAAAATTATATTAATAGGTTATAAAGTAACAGATCTAATGGTTTACAAATTATTTATTATTACAAATTTAACATTAATTTTATGTTAAGTGTTGGTCTATTTCCAAAGATGAAGTAGAAGAAAAGAATCACTATCTTAACCAACACGAATACGAATTTGGATGTGTTGTTTCTAATAGAGCAAGTGAATTCTTAACAATCATTCCAGAAAAACCATTTATGCAGGTGGTCCAAGATAATACGAATACCGGTCAATTAAACGATACGGTAAACATAAATATTAGGTGACACATACGTACCTACAATGTACGTTCGTGCAATCTATATGATTTTAGTATTTTAATTTTATATTTTAATCAGACTCCTAGCTAAAAACTGTTTCATTTTCATTAAGTGGATATAAATATAAAATATACACTGTACTTACTACACATAGTATAATATAAATTATTCATATCATAATTAGTATTAAATCCATTTATAATATTCTATTATACATTATACAACTCTACAAGTTATTTGTAAATTGTAACATATAAATCAATTCATATTATTTAAACGTTTTTATTAAAACTCGTCAAACTTTATTTTGAACTTAAGCTTATTTAATACTATAATTTGTGTTTTTATAGTTATCGAAATCGGATTCAATCAACCACTAAAAATGTCAAAATAATATTGTCGACGATTAATCTTAATGTTAATATTTTTTAAATAAACACCTTAACTGTCCGATATTTTATATACAAATTCGCAGAAGTTAATTATTTAAAGCTAAATAAATATACTGAAAATTAATAGTTAAAAATAATTAGATATAAGACTTTAAGTTAAAAGTAACGGTATAAATCAACTAATCATATTATATTCATATAATACTAGATATAAATTTTCAATTCTACTTCATAATTATTTTATAAGTATTTCGTCTTTCACAAGATACAAGATTTAAAAAACAATGTAATGAATGGTTCGTATAAAAGTGGGATTATCTTTCACGTTTACTACATAAAAAATACGAGAAGAAATTTTGTACACTTGCAAACAAGATATTATAATCTTTAAGATGAGGAGACTAAAAATATTCTAAAATTGATCAAACAAAAAAGCATCAACTAAAACATCAGCGTTTTTAAGTTCGCTATAAGCATATCTAATAAAACTTAACGTTCACATTACTTTTAATAAAAGAAATATTAAAAATTAGACTTATATAATGGAAAATAACAACTATAAATATTTAAACTTTTTTATATTTTCAAGTTAAATAAAATTAATTTAGTTAAGAGATAGATTCACAAGTGCAGGCTAATGAATCATTGACCATCATCGTCTATAATTATATAATTCCAATTATTATTTAACGATAGAAAGTTTAGAGTACACCAATATTTGATATGATGTTTAAATCAGATTTAAATGCCAACTTACGAGTTTTAAAATAGACTAAAAATTGTTTAAATCATCAGTGAATAATATCTGTATTCTTGGATTAGTTAAAGAGTTGTCGGATATCTTAAATAAGGAAACTTCATTTTGGAAGTGTACCTAATAAATGTATTTCAGTTCATAAATCATCATCTTCTTTAGGGAATAACTAAGTGTCGAAAACTCAAATAACAAAAATTTAGTACATCCCAATAAAAATTTACTGATAGAACTAAAAAAAATGATTTTAAATTTCACAAAGAAGAAGTCGGTAACAGCTTTTTTCAATTTTAATTCTAAATTAAGGGAATTGGAAGCGGTGATTTTTATTTTTGTCTAATACACGCACAATATAGAATTATAGACGTGTTCTATATATTTCCAAAGTACCAATTGATATAATGAAACGATAAGAACTCTTAAAACAGATTTAAATTTGGCGTCAAGTCTTCTTGAGATTGATTTTCCTATATTTTCAATTTTTTTGATTTTACCTATTAATTACGAGTTATGATACATCTAAATTCGTACCATTTATTTTTTATCTATCAAACAACGAATAGATTATGAATACTGAAAATCCATCACAATTCACAAACATGACCTCGCTGTTAGCGAATAGTCTCCGCATCATATTTTTTGTTTATGGATAAAAAAAAATAAAACCTTGAAAACTTGGTACAGATTTTCTTATAAGTTTTTTTTTCTTACAACAATTAAAAATTCAAATGTTGACAAAATTCGTAATAAAATCACGAAATTTCTCAAATAAGATGGTAATTAAAATTACCCTTATTTGAAGTTATTTTTTTTTTTTTTACATTTACCTCTTTTAATAGCTACAGTCAAATTAATATTCTTAGACTGAAAAATATTGGAAATATTGGTAATGCATTCATAGATGTATAGCCGTAAATTGAGAGATTAACCTATCCCGAAATTTCCTAACTTAACCTCGGGGGTTAAAATGGGAAAACGTAGATTGACTAGGTCCCCCTACCTCTAATGGTTGTTAAAAAGCGTTCCGTTCAACAAATTATTCGCAAGGTACGCATGAATGCTCCAACTTAAATTATATATTATATTATATTATAATATACGTAAAAATAAACAAATTACAATTATGTATAATATAGCCGTCAATATCATACAAATTTTATAAAATGCAACCGCTACAACTGTACCTACATCTTAGTAGACAAGCCAGAGTTGTGTAAAAATAACTAATTAGTTACATTTATAAATTTATTCAAGTAATATGGATGATATCAATACCTGTCGTCATTATATGGAAGCATAATTTATAAAATATGTGCTAAAAACATCAGAATATGCGAGAAAAAAATTAATTAAAAAAAATACATTAAATATATCAAAATGATTTTTTTTTTATTATTAAACAAAAAAAACGCTTCAACAATAAAGATTATTAGCGTGTAAATTACATTTTAAATTTTTAAATTTTTTTTTTCACTGAAATATTATTGTGTAAATTAAATTAAATTAAATAGTTCAGACATTTTTAGGAAGTTTATTACTTTTAAGTTTGTTTCTTTGTTGGGTCCTATGATTTCTGATAATTGTTCGGGCAAATCGTTTTTATCCTAGATTCTTTATATTTTAAACACTCAGTTAATATGTATTTTACCGTTATTCGTGTTCCGTATGTGGAACAAATCGGTGGTTCTTCTTTGGCCATTAAGAAGCCGTGTGTGAATTTTGTGTGTCCTATTCCTAATCTGTTTAATACTGTTTCGTTTTTCCTATAGGTGTGTGAGGGTTGTTCTTTTAATTTCACTGAATTTTTGATTTTGTTTTTCCATAATTGTTCCCATTCTATTGCGTATATGTTTTTTATTTGTTTTTTTGATGTCGGTGATTTTTTGTGTTGAATAATTACAATTTCTTCTAAATTATTGAATTTTAAATGTTGCCTATTAGGTCTTAAAATATGTTTAAAACGGCCAAATGATTATTCCATATCAACCGATGTAATTGGAGCATATTTGAAGCACAATATCAGAAAGTAATAATTCCAAATTTTTAAAAAGGTGTCTGCCACTCGTTATGTCATTGATTGTCTTAAAATCAATATAGCCTGGATTTTTTTCTGATACAACGTGAATTTATTTTTCAACAATATAATATGACAATTTACCAATAAATGGTTGTTATTGTTCACTGCAAAATAGATTGAAAACGTATGAATGATGAAATGATAAAATATGTTTAAAAATATTTACAAATTAGTGAAATATGTAAAAATATATAATTATACCAAAATATGTAAAAATATGTTAAATAAAATTAGCATAATTTTAATAAGAATTATTAAAATCGTGAACATTTCTTATTGAATCTTAAATATCTTGTTGTAATAAAAATATACATTTACATATAAATCCGTTCTCTATTTATAAGCTTTTAAGTTTAATTATTTTAATTTCTAGTTATTTTTGAAGATCGTAACACCAATTGCACTTTAAGCGTCTAGGAGGAGTTTTCGGAATAAAAAAGATCAAAGGATAATAACTTTTTAATAAAAAAGTTGAGACAGTGTGGTAATTAATTGTAAATTTTTTTTTGATAAAATTTGAGATAAATTTTTAGGTAGAAGAGATTAAGTGGAAGAGGGCCAACTTCACTAACGTAATTACATAATTAATTTTCTAAATCTAACATGAAAAGTTTAAATTTTATCAAAGGAATATATAACATAAAAAATCCTTTAAATTATTATAATAGTCGAGAACACTCAGAACTATTAAAAACGATTTTTTCAAAATCCAATGTAATTGACGCATTATATCACGGGTAACGGGAAGATATACAAAAAAAAGGAGTCCCAGGAACTTAGGATAGATGTCCATTGCTTCATACTATTTGGAAGCAACTGAATTAGACAACCTATTATAATTAATAATTATAATGCTGCATAACAGCTATGGAATATAATTTAATTTTTAGTACAAAAAAATAATAATAATAATACACACTTAGTTAAATTAAATCATTATTTATATAAATAAATGAAAATTGTCCAAAAATATTTATTTTAATCTCTTGTAATATTTAGTATATTCATTAGTCATTACTCGCGTATTTTAATGATTTGTAAGATTAACACCTAATAGTAAGAGCTGTAAAATTAGTTTAGATTAGGTCATTTTTCATTTTAACTGATACTAGTTTTTTTTCAAATTTTTGATTTTAAAGATTTAAATAAATGAAATAAAAATATAACAGTAATAGTTATAGTTCAATGATCTACTAATCTGTGAAATCTGTTTCTAATTTTTGGGTATTATTTTTTCTATTTAATGTATAGGTAACGCCGGTAATGGAGATAATTCGATATGTAATAATTATAAAAGTAATATGATTTATTTATGGATAAAACAATAAATAAAAAGAGATGTAAGAATTGCCAAAAAATCGATAAATTTTACTACATAGATGTGAATGAAATAATACACATGATATATCTCGTTAACACATATGATGCATTATATAAAATATTTCAACCTAACCATTGCATAGAGGGTGTGTAGGAAACATCGTGAACATTAATCCCTCTCTAAAAAAAATGTAAGTACCTATACTATACAGTAACTATACAAGTGAAAGCGAATATTTTTATACCATATACTACATTACTTTTTCGAATAACATAATTTTGTAATATTAGAGGTAACATAATATTATATTGGTTTCATTTTACCTGCTTGTTTGCCTTTGCCATGAGTGTACAAGTGTGCAGGGGTACAATGCCATTTAGTTACATATTACTTCAATATATCAAGGACACTCGCACTCGCATTCCGGTTATTTTCGGGCACAATCGATCTTTTGTATTGAGACGGAGCCGCCCGAATTCCACCCCATCGAAAGAACCAAATAATGGCGGATGGACTAGCGGCGAGTGGTAGCCGTAGGGAGTTGCAGTGCGTTTGCGTTTGCAACTACCTGCTATTGCCACTTCGACAAAAGATGTTACACCGTTTCCACGAAAAAATATGTTATCCATAACCCCCTGCAGACCACCGTCCAATGTCTTCAGGGAAAATATCTGTACCTACTTAACATTAAACTGTTCGAAATTCCACCGTTAGAGGCGCTCTGTTGGCCACACAAGACAGGACACCATTCTTCACTGGCGACAATATCCTCATTTATGGCGACAACTTCTTATCGAACTGACGATGGCGCAAATACCACCGTAGTGATAGTTTGATTTTCTCGGTTTCTCCTTAACCATTCAACGCAAGGGTAAGTCATAAATCTGTTACAAGTATATCTTTGTAAATATAATACAATATTATAGATCTTAATAAACCTCAGTGCTTAATATTCGCATAATTGTATCCAATAACCGTAATGTGTTAAACACCATTATTTAGATTGACCACGTGGTATTTTTGAAAACCACATTAATTCGAACAATTAATCCGTAACACAAATCATGATAATATGTTAAAAAATTTACTCGTTTCAATTTCATTTGTGACCCTTTTTTTTGGATAGTAGAGCTAATACTCCAAAAATATGTCATTCGGCATTAAAAGATATTGAATAATACACTTTATATACTACCTATATAATATAGATATTTTTATAGATAGTAGTAAAGTAGGCCATGTTAAATATTATAGAGGAATATTTTTTATGAATTTTTCCAAATTGAAAATCTTTTTTATAATTACGCATTTCATCAAAAAATTAAGACTTAGTTTGCGAACACCTGTTTTTATCAGCATTTATTTTTATTTTATGATCGTTGACCAAATCAACTACCTGTAGCGTAAATGGTGCACCACATGTGTGTTTTTATTTTGTCTTTGATTTTTATGGTAGGAATATGTAAAGATAACAGAAAACATAGATATCATTAAATTTATGATTTTTTTCCTTTTCATTTCCATGATTGTTTTGAATATTATTATGTATTTCTAACTCAATGAAATATTAGTTATTGTATACTAATTTTTTTATAGTAATAACATTTTATGATTTATTTATTTTTCATAAAGTTAATTCGAATTTCGGATTTATGTTTACCATTATTATAATTTTGATACGTACAATCTCTATCAATGAACAGATAAAGATTTTATGTGATATAATCGAGATAATGGTTTTATACGAATGTTATGTATTATACTAATGTTATATATTATACGGTTTTAAGTAGGTAACATAATAATATTATCTATTCCTCTATTAAAACGTTCAGCTATCTTATCACTTGACAGTGAACACACATACACACAGTACAACTGTTTTGTAACGATAATCTTAAATTTGTTAGTTGTTGTACAAACGATCATTTAGTTAATTTGCATAGGCAGTATAATAATTGGTAGCCGCACATATGTCGACTGAAACAAGACCGATTAGAAATCTGTTCTCGTGCATTTGTTTTCAATTTAATTTTAAGTCAGTTGCACAATATCCAATGCGTAATTGGTTTGAGATATGCGTTACAAAGCCGTTGTACAGTGTGCAAAAGGGCTTTGAAACTTATGCACATACACATTGTAGATATCTTAATCGACCTACCGTTTTGTAGGTACTTTAAGTTGTTCATACATTTAACATTGGTCTAACTATTGAATTAGTTGGTGGCTGGTGTAATAACACCATAAACATGCCTACACCTTAGGTACCTTATACAGTATACACACTGATTTATTATTAAAAAATAAAAATGTAATCAACATAATAAAGTATACAACTATATTATGTTGGTTCACATATTGTATATATTTTATTTTAACTTTTGAAATTCTATTCCATTTGTTTATAAAATAGAATAATTAACATCAATTATGGGGAGCAAATTTGAAGGTTTTGAAGAATGCTTCAAGATGACCTTTAAATCTTGTAATTCTATTGCACTACTGTAAGTTTCAGTATACTATTATAGGTGCTACTTTTAAACATTAATTAATATAATAATTGTAAATATTAATTTTAGACATTTACGAGATATGAATGAAAACCGTACAACTCTTGAGTGCAAAATTGCTGTCGGATTAGTAACTAAAAGAGAAATTATGGATCAATTAAAACACGAATTGCACTTATTTGATACCTTACTCAAGAGAATTGAAGTAAGCTTGTGCCTATTGCTAACCAAACCATCTTTATTAATATGTAAATTTTTCTATAAATGTAGGATAAAATGAATAAAATGCAATGCTGTAAAGTGATCAATAATGTTATTTCAATTTTAACCAAACGGATCAACGATTTGTGGAATAATATTCATTTACTGTTCGACGTCGAAGGTGAACATGAACCAGAAGTTCTTGATGTTGAAGTAGATGACTTCGTAAGTACTTATTGAATATTTAAATCAATATTGTTTTATTACTTATTGAACTTTTCATGTTTATACACATAGTATTTTTACTTTCATAACTTTCTTTATGAGTTATGTTCAGTGTTGTATTTTAACCAGAGCATACAGAGCCCTCAGTATTTATATCATGACATAAAAAAAAACTAACAAATTAATTTTATATATTAAAATGAAGACTCAAAAAGTTCATTTTAAAGTATAAAATGCTTTAATTATAAATAAAACAATCATCTAATATATATGTAGGTAATAGGTATATGTAATTTTAATACCTCTACTTTATGATGTTGATATGTAATTATTGTTTTTAAGGGGGTCACCAACTTTCACTCTACACCAGAGTTTTCTAAACTGTGGTCCACGGACTTTTAAAGGGGTCTGTGAACGTAAATAGGAAATACTATAATATATTGTGTATTTTTGTTTTTTATTTTTATTTTTATTAAGGGGGTCCGCAATAATTTTTACTATTTCTAAGAGGCTCGGCAAAGATAAAATTTAGAAAACACTGCACCATAACATAAATTAATATCCTTTTTACTGTACAAAATATTATATTTACTCCTAAAAAAATACCTTCTTTCCGCTATGTCTCTTGTTATTATTTAGCCATGAAAGCTCAATCATCTAAATTATATTAACGGATAAGATATCAATGTTAGTCTTGATAATTCATTGTTTAAATGTTTGAAACTTATTGTATCTTTAATTATTTAAGTAGAAATAAAATACTTATACATCATTAATGAATAAATAATAAATAGTAAATATATTATAAATAATAATAATAAATATTATAGTTATTTTAATCAAAAATTGCTTTACTTTGCTTTAAAAATTATGTATGAATAAAAATTTCAAAGAAATTAATTTAAATACTAATACTATCAAAACTTAAATAGGTTCTCGAACATAAAAACAAGATCTACAAAAATATTTCAACATTATTTTCTCAAATTTCAATTAAAAAAATTTTTTTAAATAGAATGTATTCACGAGGTTATTTTTATAATTTGCAAAATGAACTTTCTTTTTAAAAATGATTTCTTAGTATATTTATGTATATATTTATATTTGGTTTAATAATGTAATTTAAAAAAAATTTTAAAATGTTGAAGATTTGTTAAATAGTTTTGATTTTGTACTAAGTGTACATACATTACATTTCAGAAAAATTATTTTTAAGTTAAAGATCTACTTTTACTCAATATCTAACAACCATTGTAAATATTGTACATATAATATAAAATTATTAATTTTCAGGTAATATCCCAATGTTCCAACTGCAATAATTGCAGTATAACAATTAAGAGTATTATTAGCAGTATAGAGGTAAGTTTTCAATTAAATAAATCATGAAAATATAAATTTGAGTACAAATTATAAATAATTGATGACATCTCTATGTTTATAGATCATTTCAAAGAAAAACGATGCAGTTTTCAATTTGTCCTCGTCTGATTTTTCCAAAATTCTTCAAACAACAGCATTTGTAGATAAAACATTGATGATAAAAGAAGTATTTCAAAACAATGAAGTCAAAGGAATAGTAATCACGGCTCCCCACAAGTATGGAAAATCAACTAATTTAAGTATGCTTAAATACTTCTTAGAAATTCAGGTAGACTCTTTGGGAAAACCAATTACTAAGGCAAACACCGGTAAACCAATAACAGATACAAGTAATTACGAACTATTTAAAAACCTTAAGATAAGCAAGGAAGTTAATATAATGAATGAGCATTTTGGAAAATATCCGGTGTTGTATGTAAATTTTAAAACAGAAAATATTACAAATTCTTATTGCAGTGCTGCTGAAAAATGTAAAGGATCAATTCATAACTCCTTTTCATTACATAATTATTTACAAAAAAGTAAAAAATTGAGTAGTGAAGAGAGAAAATTATGTAAATTATGGTCTAGTGATTCTAGTTATAAAAGGATTATTTTTGATGAAATTTCAACTGGTCTTAGAATATTGTGTAAATGCTTATCAAAACATTATAATAAGCCATGTTTTGTACTAATTGATGAACTTGACGCGTTAACAATAACCGGAACAATAACAGATGATTTGGTTCAAGATTATAAAAACATCTTTATATTTTTGAAGCAACTTTTATTATTTTTAAAAAATAACAAATACGTTTTTCAAGCATTTATTACTGGAAAATCTGTTTCTTCTATTCATGGCATAGTACCATCATGTATACAAATACTACCATTTTCTAACTTTCATGAGTTTACTGATTACTTTGGATTTACTACAAATGAATTGGAATATCTTTTCAAAAAACCAGAATTCAAATCTGTAACAACAACAATAGAAGAAGTAAAAGCTTATTATGGTGCGTATAATAAAATCGATTTAAGTACAAAAACAAAGAAGCAAATATATTGCATGTGGTCAATTTTAAATGTTTTAAGACGTAACAAGCTTGATAACTATTGGCGAGATTTTGGAAAGTTTTTTTTTAATTTTTCGATTCCAGGTATTAAAACAATAATGCAAAAATTACTGGTAAATGAAACTTTTGTAGTTATGTTATACAATACAACTGAATCAAAAACTCATCCGACTCCCCCTCCAATTATTGAAACATCTGAAAACCCTTTTACAAAAAGTTCACTAGATTATTTTTTTAATGTCTTGTTAGACTTGGGTTATATGACTTTCACTTCAGCGTCAATACTGGTTCTAGACGTACATAATAGTACAAATAGTTGTATAGGATATGTTAAAATACCAAATGAGGAAATTAAACAAGATATTGAACATAAAATATCATTGTTATCTTAAAAAACATATTTTGTGATTTCATTTAATAATATAGGTTTATGTGAATTCCTATATTAAACAATATATTTTGATATTTTCTTTAAAATGTATAATAAAATTTATCAAACCAAATATTATGATTTGATTTTTTTTTTTTTTAATCTCAGTAATTGTTTAATATCTTTTAAGTTATTAATTATTTTTTGTTAAAATGAGTTTAAACTACATTTTTGTTTTATTTTTTATGACTTCAACAATGTAATTATTGTCAAGGATTATTTTAATTTTAATAATTTTTGTATTCATAATAGTAGATTATTCTTATTTATTTATAATTAAAATATGTTTTCTTATTTTTAAGGTACAATTCCATTTTATGTAACAATTTTGTGTTCATAATTTTTCTATTGCAGCATAAAATCATGTAATAGTATAACTATATTCATTTATTATACTAAAACATAATAAAAATACTTATTTGTGTATTTATGCATTTAATTTTAAGTAATACCATAGTGTTTGAAAAACTAAGTAATATTAAATGTATTTTACTTTAAAAAAAAATAAAATAAAAATGTTAAACTAAAAAGTAATGGTTTGTCTCCAAAATCTTTTTATTTTATTACTTATATATTAAAAATAAAATATAGGTTATAAGTTATTCTGAAGTATAAACAAAAAATATAAATAAAGAGATTATTTATATTCAAAATGTAATTGTTATATCTCAGTTAAAAAATAATTTTGTATTTAAATAAAGCTTTTATAACTAATGTTTTAATTTATTAAAATTTTAAAACCTTATATTCCATGTTATTTTAAGTATAATACTAAATACTTAGATATAAGTAAAACAGAGTATAGTTAAACCTTTAATGATTAGTTCTTGCAACTTTTAGATGAATTAATGTAAGAAGAAAATAAGTAAATATTATATTAATAGGAATAATCAAGAAGTTCAACTATGATGTGTGCTAAATTGTCATTTTGTCCTATTACCTAACCTAATTTAGTTTTACTTTTTATAAAATGTTAATCTATTTTTATTTCTTAAACTGCTGATTAGATAAAAAAAAATGCAAATAAGTTTTAAATTTACACCAATAACAATACTGAAATTTTTAATAACACATTAAAAAAAAGGAACAACCACTTCATTGTAAAATCATAAACTTAATGCTTAGATTACTCAGCGTCAACAATTTCTATATTAATTTAAATTAAAGTTACTATTATTAATTCTTATGATTTACGCTATTAATTATTTTATCCTTTTTATTCCCTAATTACTCGTATATATGTGAACTCTTTAAGACTTTTAAAACATAAACTTAATTTAGCCATTAGTTGTTTTGTTACATTACAAAGAACCAGAAACTCAAAAAGTTGTTAATTTTAAAATTGGAGAAAAGTTTCTATACAATTTTGGGTTTTTTTTAGATAATACTTAATCGATAAATGTTCTTTATTTTCAATTAAATTTAAATTTCATACAAATATATAATGCTGAAATTTCATAAATTCATTAAATGTGGCATAAACAATGTAAACGTTGTATAACTTAGAAACATTATAATGATATTTCAGAATTATTTGAATATAAAGTATTTGTGAATTAATTGAACTGTAAAAACACAATATAATTTTATTGGTTAATATTTAATGGACTTATCTTAATTACAAATCATATATCTAATATAAATCACACTTTTAATAAATATGATTCTATCAAAAAGTAAGTATCTATCTATCTTATATGATATATCATAATTTATTAAACTATTAACTATTATTAATTTAAATTAAATAATGGAAATTGTCATTACAGCACAATGAATAATGTCTATTGATTGCTGTAATAAACTTTTACTTAGAACATGATGTTTGATGTTTTCCTTTGATACAGTTCATACACAAAATTAAGTAATGTAAGTAGTAAAAACATGTTTCATGACCTAGGTACTAGCAGAATTGGTTTCATCAATAATTTAGACTAAAAAATATATTATGCATAATTTACTGTTAAGTATTTGCTCACTCTATGATTTAATAATCCAATCTCAGAGATTAGATGAAGTTGAAATCTGATTATTTATCATATCATTTTTGTTCACTAACTATAATCACCAAATCTTAAAACAAACGTCTAAAAAAATCATTAAACCTATGATCATATAAAAAGTGATTATCAATTTAAATGGTAATAATGATTTACAAAATGTTTTCCACAAGATGGTTAATGATAAAAATTAGAAAATTATCTTTAATATTATACTAAAATTATATTAAATTCAATCTTTGATAGGTTCTTGTTCAGAGTAGGTAGGTATTTTTGTTCTAAATATCTCACCCACCTAAAACTTAATAAAGGCATTTACTGTCATGTTTTCAACTATATATTGTAGTAAATACTAAAATACTAATTATAATATTAAAATATTATCATTATTATTATCCTCCCAACAGCTTTAAAATAATTCAGAGGCCTTTTGTCATGTCACTGGACATGTTAAGCATGCAAAAAATATACATTCATTTATGAAGATGTTTCATACGCATTGGCTTTAGTGGTGTTATAGGTACAATGTGCTGAAGGTTAAAGGCTAAGTTTGTTTTAGAAGTTTCAGGATAATATCCTAGATTTTCTAGCTTAGTTTAAAATAAATAATACAATACATTTTATATGATAATACTTATTTATTTTTCTTGTAGATCCTTAATATCATTAATCATCAAGCTATAATGAGAACTGGTAGTTTCCAATGATATATAAAATAAATTCACCACTATCTACTTAATTCAATAATAAGGATGATAAATTATATAAGTACGTTAACCTCAACAAAATCAACAGCTAAAAGCTTATATTTATGTATTGTTCCCATTACTTAAAGCTGATCTGAAAAAAAATATTTGTTTACTTAAAATAAATATTAATGTGATATTTTTAAAAAATGTAGATTTTCCGCTGGGTATAATCAAAATTAGGTTCTAGTTAGTGTGTGAGTAATTGTATGAAAAAATATAATTCTATTTGTATTTAGTTAATATTTTCCCTACTCAATTATTCAATGACCAAATATTTAGTATTTTTTTGGCCTAATAATACGTCCCATAGTAGGTATCAATTTTGTAGGGATTTCATATTTTGTATAGTCATTGGTTAGGCTTGCCAGATTTTAAAATCATCAAACCGGGACATCATATTAAAATAGGTTAGGTAAGTAAGGTTTTTTTTTAGTATGTTAGTATAATTATATGGGAATAATAAAAAGATAACATAATACGATAATCATGTAATCATGTAATGATATTATGTACAATATTATTCCATATTTTGGTATTAAATAATATAATGTTAAAGTTATTTTAGCTCGGCTTCCATTAATCAGGACAAAATTAATGACCGGCTGGGACACCGGGAAATGTTGTTATAACCGGAACGAATGGCAAGCCATGGTCATGGTCATGGCCATATTTTAATATATAAAAAGTATAGATCTAATTCCAATCTTATAGCTAATTGCATTTAATCACTAAGAAATGTATTAAGAATAATTGAAGTTCATCACTTCAATAAACTTATGAATAATATACATAGATAACTAATGTACATATTATTATACAAAATAAAAAGTCATTACACAAAGAAGTAATGGAAGGAAAAAATACTAATTAACTTTATTTAAAACATGGATACAATAATTTTACTTATTTTTATAATAATTAAATAATTCTTTAGTTAGAAATTTAACACTATTCGCTTTAATATTTTACAAAATAAAATTTATTTTTTTTGTATATATATTTGTAAAATAAATTGTTAATATTAGCCATTAAGTACCTACTTTTTAAATCTATAGAATCAGATGAAAAAATTGTACTAACTATAAAGATAAATATTATTTTAACACACATAGCAGTAAGTATCAATTAGTTTAAAAAATTGTATGCATATATAATTTGCTTTAAGTTATAGTGAAAAAAATAAATGTTTTGTATAAAAAGTATAAAAAATTACTAAATATAAATTCCAATAAATCTATTATCAAAATATAAATATTGTTTTTATTTTATTGTTCTACATAATAAAAATTAATTAAACTGGAAGAATTTAAAATAATAGGAATTATTTTACACAAAATTAACATAAGTAACAAAATATTAAACTTTTGTAAGTAGAAAATATTTGCATTCATTAATAATAGTTAATTAATTAGATAGTAACCATCATGATGATACCTACCTATATTACTAATTAAATGTGTTTAAAATGGAAGTTTTGCTTATGTACCCACATGCATTATGTATAGAAATATTTATGTAAAAAATAATTATAAGCTAGGTTTTATAAAAATTCCAACCTATACTGTTATAATATTGGAGCCAAATGGCAGGTATAAATAAACATATGTGTGTATAATATGTTTACATTTTAAGCAAATTTAAATTAATACCACCAATATTACAACTGTTATTGTCGGTCTTTAAAATTACAAATTAACACATTATGGCAATTTTCATAAAACCTATGACAGTTTTTTTAGTTTTTAGTTGAAGATAGTTAAAAATATTTATATACCAAAAAAAAAAAAAAAAAAAAAACAGAAACACTATTCTATTGATTTACATGATTAAGTTCCAGATAAAAATATATTATATTATACTTAACTAATAAAAATTAAAACACATGTCCATGCAATTATAAAAGTAATGACATAATTATTACATGCTAGGTTCATGATCATATTATGAATAAAATGTATTAATTTTTAAATTGACTAGATAATAATAACACAGGCATATGCTGTTAATATGTTAGCTTCAATTAAGCTGCTTTCAGTTTTTGACTTTTCAGAGCAGCTTTTTCCGGACGAGCTACAACAATAGACAAGAATATTTATGACACTGTAAGAACTTTTTAATAATTAATAAAATATATTTAACTAATTATAAAAATTAAATACCTACAATTTAATAAAAAAAAATATATTTAGTCAAAACTATACATATCCAAGTCT